ACAGGACGCGCGCGAGGCGCGCGAGCGCGCGGCGCGCGGCGAGGAGGAGGAGGACCCCTGGGCCGAGGAGCGCAAGCTCACGGAGCTCCACCGCCGCGCGCGCGCGCACCGCGCTGTGTGGAAATCAACCAGTGGTTTGGGACGTCCCGACCAAACTTTGAAATTCTCTAGCTCGGTCAAATCGAAGTCGATTCGGCTGATTTTTGGACGGATCGATTGCTCGCATCGATTTCTCGAAGCCCAGCCGAAGAGACCGGCACAATCCGTTCAATTACGCGCACATTGAAGTCGGGTTGAAGATTTGATTTCCACACAGGCACCGCGACCGCATGGACCGCGAGATGGACGAGACGTGCAGCCTCGAGACCGCGCGGCGCCTCATGACGCTCCACCGCGACGGCGCGCCCATCGAGCAGCTCCGCGCGGAGTACGAGGAGATGGACAAGAACGAGCGCCACGGCATGCTGCCCATGATGAACGACGACGAGCGCGCGGAGCTCGCGGAGTGGTCCACGAAGCTCAACAACGCGCTCCGCGCGGAGAACGAGTCCAAGGGCGACAAGAAGCTCGTCCAGCGCCGCGAGGAGATCTACCTCGAGTACCGCAAGCGCTACGTGCGCGTCCGCAGCGACATCGAGGTGCGGGAGAAGCTCAAGGGCATGGACGAGGGCACCGCCGCCGCGTGGCGCGAGGCGGACCGCCTCGAGCGCGACGAGGGCAAGATGCCCCAGGACGTCGCCACGGAGTTCCGCGCGCGCATGACCGACGAGGAGTGGGCGAAGATGGAGGCGCTCACGGACATCGCGAAGATGCAGGAGGCCGGCGCGTCCATGACGCAGGTCCAGGAGGCGCTCGCGGCGCACGACCTCGCGTCCGAGGACGACATCGAGAAGCTCTTCTACAACGCGGACTACCGCGACAAGACCTTCGCGGAGCTGCCGCCCCGGGACGGCGGCGACGCGGCGCCGGCCGTCGACGACGACGGCTACGCGCTCGAGGCCACCGCGGAGAAGGCGCGCGGCTTCGAGCCGTCGAAAGGCGACGTCGGCCTCGAGGGCCGCCAGGCCAAGCTCAAGTTCGACCGGGGCTTCCTCGAGCGCGAGGCCCACAAGGACCGCGCGGAGAACCCGCGGCCGCCGAAGCCGCCGCCGCCGCCGTCGTCGTCGTCGGAGAGCGACGCGTCCGACGACGACGCGGACGCGGCGCCGCCGGAGCCGCCGGAGTCGCCGGACGTCGCCATCGCCAAGCTCCGCGGCGCGGACCTGCCGGACAAGTCCATCGCGGCCTACATCGGCGACCTCCTCGGCCTCGACGACGCCAAGGCGGCGGCCGCGCTCGAGAAGGCGTCGCGAGAGTACGCGCGATTGAAGTTCCCGAGCCCGGACAAGGCGCCCGACAAGGAGTCCGTCGAGCTCTACTTCGTCGCGCTCGCCGACGCCATCGACGCCGCGCGCCAGCGCCGCGAGGCCGGCCACGACGAGGCGCGCGTCGTCCGCGAGCTCGTGGATCGCATGAAGTTCAACGTCGACCACCCGCCGGACCGCGCGCCGCTCGCCGAGCCGACGATCCCCGAGCCCGACCGGCGCTCCAAGCTCCCCGCGGGCCAGAAGTACGACGGCGACCCGCTCTCCGAGGCCGACGTCCGCTTCATGGTCGAGTGCGTCCGCATCCGCGAGAGCGACGCCGAGGACGACGGGAGGCTCCGCGCGCGCGTCATGCAGCACATGCAGGCCCACGGCACGGCGTTCCTCGAGCACATGGAGCACACGGCGAACCTCATCACGCTCTTCCGCGAGATGGGCGTCGGCCCGGACGAGCGCACGGAGCGCCTCATCATCCACTACCGCTGCGACGAGTGGACCGGGTAGGCCGCCTTTTTAAAATAAGACGCTATTCGTCGTTCATATATGTATTTCTCATGCCTATACTTGCAACCGCGGCTCGTCGGTGTCGGGGAAGTGCGCGGGCGCGTCGACGACGGCCTGCTCGAAGAGGCCGCACGCGCCGCACTCGACGCCGTCGCCCGCCGCCGCGTCGTCGACGCCGCCGACGACGACGGCCACGGGGTCGTCGTCCTCGCTGTCGTCGACGAGCGCCTCGATGTCGACGACGCGGCGGGGCGGCTCCCGCTTGCCGGCGACGCCGCTCGTAGAAGCGGCGTTGCGCGAGCCGAAGGAGCGGGCGCGATAGACGGAGTAGAGGACGTGCGTGTGCGCGAAGAGCGGGAGCAGGTGGTCGAAGAGCAGCTGCACCTCGACGACGAGAGGGACCTCGGCGTCCCGAGGCGCGAACTCCAACACGGCGAGCAGGTTGAAGGGCTTCTCCTCGCTCGCCAAGTTGTTCTTGAGCCGCAGGAGCTCGAACGGCGGCCTGTGTGGAAATCAAATCTTCAACCCGACTTCAATGTGCGCGTAAT